TTTTATATCATAATATCATATAAAATTAATTTTAATAAAAGAAGATTAAATCTTTTTCTGTCTTATTTTTAACCAAATATCAAAAATTAAAATCTTAATTCAATAAAATTACAATATACATGTTTTGGACCCCTCTCGAAAAAAATTTTTAGATACGGCCTTGTGTTATAGTATACTTCCAAAGTGTATAAGATGTACAATGATAACTGAATCAGATTTTCCACAGTTGTTACTTTTAATTGTTGTTATGATGTAATCTTATAAAATCTCAAAACCTACCTTATTTTTTTGTACGTCCCTAGTAACGTGAATAATACAAATCCGTTCGTTTCTGTCCCCAAATGGATAAGTTGTAGATTAGCAAAAAATGTCAGGTCATCGATCAACGTGCGATTTCGTTGTACATGCATAATAATAGATACTTATTGTTGATATTGCCGTTGAATTGAACGAACCAGACCCATGATCAGATTCTGTTCAAAAATTTGTCCCACTATTACGTTTTTCAATATGGATCGCGTGATCATTACTCGAGTTTTGCCTAAAGAGTAAATATAATAACTCATTTTTCAATGCAACGTAACAACGATTAGTACTGTTTCCTTGTGAACATTTATTTTTCCGTGTTAGATTAAAGTTAAATTCAAGTTATTTTGTAGCTTATCATCAGTACTCGCGAATGAAAACATGTTGCAATTATATTACAAATGAACACGAACTGATCACATTTTAAAAAATATTTACTAACTCGTTGTGAAGTGTAAATGCAGGTAGATAGTCATTATGAATAAGTGTCGGGTGATCAGTAAACTAATACATGTTAATGTACAAATGTTTAATGTTCAATAATTTTGCTCTTGGAAAGCAGTTATATGTTGTTAATATTGAGTTTTTCTTCTTTGTATTTTTCAGTTTAACATTTCTTGGAGATTATATATATAGAAAGAAATGTTAAACTGAAAAATACAAAGAAGAAAAACTCAATATTAACAACATATAACTGCTTTCCAAGAGCAAAATTATTGAACATTAAACATTTATACATTAACATGTATTATTTTACTGATCACTTGACACTTATTCATAATGACTATCTACCTGAATTCACACTTCACATATATATATATGCACATGTTTAATAATAAGGTAAATAAAAATGTACGCGTTTGTGGGTAGTTTTGAGATATGTAAGATATGTGGAAATCACCAAAAAATTATTGGGAAGACTATTGGGATCATGTAAATTTAATTCGTGAAAACGATGTGAATCGATGAGTTAGCATTTTTCATTTGTGAGTTAATCTACCAAAATTAAACTTAATATTATACTACCGTTTTTCGAATTCTCTGATTTAAAAAAGTGTCCAACATTTTTTAGATTTTGAGTGTAACGAGGACTTAATTTTTTCTATGAGACAACAATTTTTTTTAACCACCATATTTTATTATCAACATAATGGCCCATTGATTAGATTTTAATTTAAAATTATCGGATGATAAGGTGATTAAAATTTACAGCTAAATTAAGTAAATCCTTGAATACAATGCAAAATTAATCACGTTCGTTGAACTCGAACCATCATCTCTGGAAAGCTTGGAAAGTTATGGCAAAAAAATATAGACAATGTTCAACTAGTTAAAAATAATAAATAAAATTCATTAATTAACATAATTATTTTGAGTACAACTATAGTATATATATATACATTAGGTAAGATAATTATTATACACTAGTGGATATGTAAATATAAAATCTGTACAATTAGTTATTAATATATTAATAACACTTGCTTGTAAACGGCGATTTTGTGTCCTTTTGTGACGTTAATTTCATTTTACTATATTTCAAATGAAATTTGTACACATATGTATGTCTTTCTTCGCATTTACCACTTATATCCGCCATCTTATACGCAGATAAATACAAATTCTATTTAACTTACCATTATATATTATACAATTATTATTAATTGTGATGGCAATTTAAGTATAATAATGTAAAAGTCCTTAGACCTTCTATTTTTCTCAAACACGCTAAAGTACGTTTAACGGTTTTAAAGATTTTTTTATAATTCAATGAACATGTTATCATGTGTATTGATCAGATTATCACATACAAGGGCTTACTTGTAAATTACGTATATTTTTAAGCCAACGATTCTCAAAGTGTGTTTCGTGGAACCCAAAGGTTTCATGTGACCATCTCACGTTTTGTTTTTAAGAAGTGTTCACTCATTATTACTGTTCAATCTTATCATGGAATAAGACCAACATTTAAATAACAAGAACAACCCTTCATCTAGATTTAATTTTAATACGATCTTGAAAAGTAAAGGTATTATTTGTTTAGACTTTTATGAATTTTAAAAAATTTAGCTAAATGTTAGCTTAATAATATAGTTATACTTTTAATAAATGAGTGTTTAAACGTAATTAACATTTAACTATACACTTATAGCTGTAATTTGATATACCTACAACAAAAAGTAAAACTAAGTAATTTATTTAATAGGCCATTGTGTATAATTTAAGCCAATTATTGTTATAATTTTTAAGTTAAATAAAATTACAGTATAATTATTCATACTTGAAGGTCGATATTAAGTTAAATGTTTTATCAGAATTATAAGTTATACTAAAGTATTTAAATTAATTTAAACTTGAATTATTTAAATTTGAAATCCCCCTGTCAAATAGTAAAACATGCAATATTTCAACTATAATGTATTGTCAGCAATAAATTCTGTTGATTACATTTTGTAAACAAACATTGTTTAGGAAAAAAACAGTGTTCTTAACTAGGATTAAAAATTATGAAATTTAGGTGGTTTTGTTTTTACATTTTTATTATAGAATACATAGTTTTGCTAGTTATTTGTTGTTTAACATTTGAAAAAAGTGTTAGTTTAATTCTGTGGAATTTAATTAATTTTAAATGTGTTAGCGTTTTAACACTCGGCAAAAACGAATTATAATTATCTAGTTATTTCGTGATATTTGGCTTTATTAAATTTACTTTACGTATTTATGAACATTGAATATAATTAAGATAAATGTTTGAAAATTATAACTACTTTTAATTGTATTTAAAAATTTTCCAAATTCAAAAAAGGATATGAAAATTGATTTAAAGAGATACATTTGAATTTAAATATTACTTTAGGTACGTTTCTTTACGTAAAATGTTATTTTTATTTAAGTTAAATCTCTATGTATGACGTATTAACATAACAAAGAGACCTCTGCTCTGTTCAAATTAAACCTTCCTTATAAGTTCTTATTGATTAACTAATTTGAATTGTCAATTAATATCTGAAAGATAAGTTATAACTTGTAGTGAATATACATTTTTTCTTAATTTTTTATCATCATGATTTAGGCTATATATTTAAAAATGTACAAATAATCACAATAAAAAATATTTTTTAACAAAATGAGAAACATACGTATTTTTTTAATTAAAATAACTTTATTTGTGCATGTTTAAAAATTAATGATGTAACACTGATCATTTTACGGCTATATATTAGAGATATTCCGGGTACCCGGCAGTTATTCGATGGCCGAGTACTCGATATTCATATTTAATACTTGACCCTTACTTGTACTCGGCGTACTATCTACATTTTTACCTGGCCCTTACTCGGTACCTAATGCAATACCTACATTTTTACTCGGCCAGTACTCGTTACCCGACTTAAAATAAATTATCTACCTGAAACATCTCTAGTGTATATTATTAATTTCGGGTGAAAGTCAATTTTATGTCTTGAATTGAATTATAAATGTAGATTATTACATTTAAATTTACAATTTATGTCGATATCCTTAAACTGACATTTGTTATTGAAAATATCGGATCTGATTACATACATTAATAATGTGTAATTAATAATTGTAATGATTTAAAATAATTTTTAATTTTTATTACATTATTCCTATATACTATTGTTGTAAATAAAATTTCGTTGTAAATCAAACCTTGTTAATTTATTTGAATACCATGCCTACACATATTTTTTAACCATATTACGAAAATATGATTTAATCTTACCATTTTTTTAATTTTACCGTTTTTTTTATGTATATTTTTTTACTTAACGTACTCTATGCACGATTCAACGTAATACCTACCTAAGTATTTAGGATAGGAATTATGGTTTACTCTTATCCCATCAAACACTATCTCAAGTTTATTCTATTGTTCAGGTGGAATGCACATATTTTAATTATAGCTAAATTAGGCTTTAAGTGCGATTTGCTGAAATATATATTAATTTATATTAATTATATTTTAATTAGCTTTAGGCAATTGGTTAAAATTACATTACCATCCTTTAGGTCTTTACTTCTATATGTAATAGTTATCACGTCTGCAAATTGAAACTTATTGAATTAACTAAACTTAACCAAATTGAGCTTTTTCGTATTTGGTATGTCATCCATGTATAGGTTGATCAAGGTAGGAGCAAGTTCTGAACTCTGAGAGAGCCCATTATTCACTATCTTCGATCTACTCCCATTCTTACCTGAATATACTTGAAGACGTGGATTTACTAGGATTGCTTCTAAAATAGTGACTAACTTTCAGCATTTAATAACTTTAGTAAATGTATTCATGAAACCATGTCTCCAAACCGTATTGTACGTGGTTGAGATGTTAATGAAAACTACATTGCTTTTTAGCTTCTTCTGTAGGTTATCTTCTTCATTCATAGTAGTTAAGGCAATTACTTATTCCTCACAGATTCTATTATGTCTTAAGTTCGTTTTTTTCTATTGAGGTGATCTCATCAATGCATGACTGAATTCGCTCTAGTATAAGTCTGTCTAAGATCTTATACGGAATGTTTAATAGAGAAACTAGGCGATAATCTGCAGTCTCTGATCCTGGTTTTCCCGGTTTTAAGAGTGTTATCACTGTGTCCATATTTAACTGTTTTGGGATAATTTTTGTAATTAAAACATCACTATAAAATCTAGCAAGCCACTCACGATTCCTGGGATCAGAATATTTGATAAATTCGAGGTAATCCTTACTGAATCCAGCTGCCTTATTGACTTTGGTTTTACTCAGAGCAATAACAACCTCTCATAGCCTTAAAAATGTGCTGACTATAGCATCTTGTTGTTAAAGTTTATCGTATCAGTGATGTTTATAAACCGTTGTCCAACACAATGGAGCGGTGTTAAGTCTAGGGAAAGTTTCCCAAGACGTGTCTTGCGATCATTGTGTTGTCACTTAACTCTTTCCGGCATGGTGGGATACACGCAATTCCATAAAAAAAAAACCCATCCAGCACGGTGGGACAAATAGCATACCACCCATAAATTATTTGTTTTCTATTTTTCAGCCGATTGTTGGTTTAATTTAAGAATTTCAATATATTTATTATATTGATAATTATATTATATTATATTAATAATATATTCATTATCTTTATACATAGCTAATGCGTATAAATTCTTAGAAGTCTAACATTATTAAATATCGGTTAATTAATTTTTTCCAATTATTATTTTCAAACATTTATTTTTAAAAACTAATGTTTAGTTTTCTCCTAATTGAATCGATCGATTTGCATGATTCTAATTTCATTTAATTCCAAGAATAATATAGTTTATTTTGGTGTTGATTTTAATTAGCTCTTATAAGTATTTTTCCTAATATTCGTGTATAATTGAGCATCCATTATATGTCCCACCGTGCAATAACGTCTGTATTCAAAACGCTTCTATACCTAGTAGACACCGACACGCGACAGTGGTACGCGTACTGTGCGAATTCGTTTATTGTTTATTATTCATCAGTGTGTGATTTTATTATTTTTTTATTATTTTTTTTTTTTTTTAAATGGCTAAACGTTATTCAGACCTTGAAGTAAATGAAATGTTATTTGAAGATTTACCGTCAGATGACGAAAGTTAATCGTCAATTGACGATACCGATGACGACGAAACACATGTTCCCGAACCTAATAATAATATATTATTAGTTATAGAGTCCGATTCGGAAAGTGATGAAAATATAGAGATTTTAAATATAGAAGAAAATGTTACTTACATTCTCCCAAGTCCGCAAAAAAATCGTTCATCAAATCGTCGAAAAAAATATATGACCCGTTTATTGCACGGTGGGATTTACGCTGTCCCACCTTTGATAACTTCCGAAGTTTTTAAGTTATTTTTGTTTTGTTTTTTAAAATCTATATTTGTATATATTTTTAATAATAAACAGTAACGAAAAAAAAAAAATTACAAAAATGTCTGTACAACAAGGGTGTAGAGCATACTCAAAACCTCGTTAAAGAGTACCTTGAGGCTATGCTTAAGTCTGGTGTGTAGTTCTTTGATCACCTTGCTAATCGTAAAGCTCCTTTTTCCTTTGAAGATTTAACCTGGGTTTCAGCAGATTAACGCATGCATGGAGGACTATCACCACCCTCCCCAAGAATAGAATGCTTTTTATAATCAAATTTTTCAAACGATTTATAATGAGTGTTTTTTTTAGCTACACGTGTTTTGGATGTTATATTTATTTTCAACTGTATAACCATTGGAAATTTAAAGTATTAAATATTTAATAAATTTGTGTTTTCAGGCTGAAAATACTTGTGTATGGTACGGTGAATGTGAAAAAATTAATTCGTTGGTATTAAATTGTCCTTATAATGGAACCGCAAAACCTCTGACTGATCCAGGCGCTTTAAAGGTACTTCAAACGTGGTGTCCTGATTTTATACAGGATTATTCAGAAGGTAAGTTGTTTTTAGTTTAATTTATAATAATTAAGTATGAAAATATTAATTTAATTACGTATTTTGTATAGAAATAGATAATATTATTGTGTAGATTATAAATTTATGGAATTTGATATAATTTAATTTCCCTGTTGCGTTGACAAGTTGATTAATATGAAGTAAAACTAATTATTATTTTGTATTTGATAAAAACAATTTCTGTCTATAATATAATAGTAATAAATAAGGCTCGGAAGTTGATGCATTTTGCATTTTTTTTTAATTGATGTAGTCATTAATCTATCAAGCTAAAAATCCGATTTAGATGGTCTACTAAAATAATCTGAAATTTTGATTTTGCATTTTTTACATTTTTTGCCTTTATTTCTCATTTATATCATTTTATCATGGTCCTACATTTTAAATCATTTTTTTTACATTTAATGTTTAATTTTTTTTCATTAAATGTGAAAATATCATAAAAATAAAATATAACATATTATTTTAACTTTTAAATATAGTTTATTGTTGTCAGTGTTACAAAAATAACTAGGTGCACTAAAATTACTGGCCGTGGTCGAGTTGCTTATCGCAATGTTTGAAATAATGTATATTTATAGTTTATAGCATATTTATATTTATAGTGTATTATTGTAAACAATAAAATGATTATTTTTCAATAACAGCTAAAACTTATTGTAGCCACTATATTTGTATATTGTATAATATAATTTAGTATTTGACCATCTCGTGTAGCTGTTATTGACTGTTGTCCTGTTTTAAGAACTTTTCTATTAAAAAAATGCCTAAAAATAAAACTTCGACTAATGCTCGTTTACGTGCATTTGTATCAGAATTTGGAAGTGATATTTTTTCAACTGATGGATATATACTTTTTTGCAAGATATGTGACGTTAAGGTTGCCGCAGATAAAGAGTTCGCTGTGGAACAACACGTGTCACGTCAAAAGCACATACATGGAATTGAGCGCAAAAATTTACAAACTGAAAAATCAAAAAATCAAAGTTTACTGACACAACCATCCAGAAAATGTACATTTAATTATGATTTGTGTCAAGCCCTTTTATCGGCTAGTATTCCATTGAATAAATTATCCAACGACTGTTTTCGTAAATTTTTGGAAAAATATACAAGCAAGAGTATTTCCGTCGAATCGACATTGAGAAAATCGTATGTTACCCAATATTACGAAGAAACTATAAACAATATAAAAAAGTATTGTGAAAATCAAAAACTGTGGATTTCTATCGACGAAACTACAGATGTGGAAGGCCGGTACATCGCGAATGTAATTATCGGTACGTTAGAAATTGGATACCCAGGAAAAATATTTTTGCTTCACACAGAAGCACTGGAAAAAGCTAATCATACCAGCATTGCTAAATTGGATAAACCATTTCATCTTTTGTGGCCTCAAGGGATTAAATACGACAATATTTTGATGTTTTTGAGCGATGCAGCTATAATGGTAAAGGCATAAAAATAATGTACTCTAAAATGGAACATGTCACTTGTTTAATTCACGGATTACACAGAGCTGCAGATGAAGTTCGTAAATATTTCCCTAAAGTTGATCAATTAATATTTAACGTAAAAAAATGTTTTTTAAAGTGTCCTGCCCGTATTCAATTTTTTTGAGAAAAGGCACCGAGTATTTCTTTACCGCCACAGCCTGTATTAACTAGATAGGGGACGTCGCTAAGTGCCGCAAATTATTATTGTGAACACTTCGAAACTTTAAAAGAAATAATATTTGGTTTAAATAGAGACGATGCTACATCGATTGAGAAAGCTCAAGATTTCATGGAGGATTATGATTTGCAAAGTGATTTGTTATACATTTACTCCAATTTTGGAACATTGAGTGATTTTATAACTCAGTTAAAAACATTTGGGCTTAGTCTTCACCACTCGATAAAAATTGTCCAAGATGTTGAAAATAAAATTCAACAAGCAGAAAATAGAGTAGAACAAAATATATAAAAAAAAAAAATTAAAATCCGTTTTGGATAAAAATACGGGCTTTAAAACAGTGACAACAACTTCAAAAATTTTGAATGATGAAAAAAGGTCGAACCAAAACTTTCCAGATGACCTCAATAATTTCGATATTGCTCATTTTCAATTTGCACCAATTACATCAGTAGATGTAGAAAGAAATTTCTCAAAGTATAAGATTTACTTTCAGACAATCGCAGGTCATTTACTATAGAAAATATGAAACACGCACTTATTGTTCAATGTATTAAATTTGATTAGGTTTTTAATTAGGATCATTTTTATATTTTGTTTTAAATATTTTTGTAGAATATTTATGGTTTATATTTAAATAACAATTTTTAATAAGGTGTTAAATAAAAGTTTTTTTTTCTTATAAATATAAAATAAGTCATTTTTTTTTTTTTTTGCATATTATGCTATATTTAAATAACAATTTTTAACAAGATGTTAAATAAAAGGTTTTTTTTCTTAAAAATATAAAATAAGTCATTTTTTTGCATTTTTTAGTTAATAAAGTTATTTTATTTTATAATTTGACAATTGTTGGGTTATTTTTTGCAGTCATTTTTCATCATTTTTAGATCATTTATTCATATTTTTTTAGGTCATTTTTTAAAGTTCTTTAGGTCATCAACTTCCGAGCCCTAGTAATAACTAATAAGTAATAACGATTTGCAATACATTAATTATTATTATTACACAACTACACAATTATTATTTTGTTATTTCATTGAAAACCTTGTACCGATTATGTACAAGTATATGTAGTATATATTATAATAGTTTGATGGACTCGTAATACAGAAATCTGTTAACCAATATAATTTACAACTTTTTATTCCGCCCATTAAATTGAATAATATTTACGTTTACTAGTTATACTGAAAACATAAAATATTTATTTGTTCTCAGATTTTTTCGATTGTAATAATTAATAAAATCGAATTCATAGAACAATATTTGGCTGTCGATTTTATTTAAAAATATGTTTTTTAAGGAAAATGTAATTTATGGTTTATAAATTAAGTATTTAGGTTAGTTTTCGTAATTTTGTTCACTAAAACCAGTTACCCTTTCATAACAGCTATACTGTAGTAATTTCATTATTTTGTAATAACTCTAAACTAGGTTTCCTATCCACACACATATGATAAAGGCATTTACTATGTACTTATAATGTACGTATATATAATCAATGATAGGTACCCACTTCCACTTCAGGTCAAATAATAAAATATAGTTTGATATTTCAGACATCTTATTTGTAAACACATCTAGTAAATTACTACTTCATTTTTTGTAGGTAAGGCAACTGTAGATCGAAAAAGGTTCCCCTTCGACCTTGACAAATACAATTATTATTATAATACCTGCTGATTGGATATTTAATTTGTCTCGTATCCTATAGATTAATATGTTTTGGAACAATAACGTTATCAATAATAAAATATACATTTTACTTTCGACCTTAAAGTATAGTATAATGATGGTCTGTATTGCAAAAGTTAATAATTTATATTATATTAAAACCAAAAAAAAATGTAATTATATATATATGCTCATTATTGTATATATATATTATGTTATATAAAATATTGCATACCTATTGAAAATATGCACTCAGCTTAAATAATTGAGAGGTTTGAACTTGCAATTATAAAACACGTTATTAGGTTGTACTAATATTGTTTTTAATCCATCAAACGTGTTAATGACTAGGTTTTATATTTTTAAAAAACATAAAATACTATTAATAGAAGAAAAGGATGTTTATTAAATGTTCAATTCAGATTCATTTTTATATTTAAATTCTAAGAACAAAACCAAAAATATTAAAATTATGCAAATTTTATGTGATTAAATGAAGTGAAATTATTCACAATATACAATAAATACTAGAATATAAACAGTGGTAATGAAAGTTTATTGATTTTATAATTATGTTTTGAGTTTATTAAGAGGTTTAGGCTCTTTAGAAATCTCTTTACAAGTAATAATTGGGTGATTTGGTTATTTTTATTTATGTATTAAATATGTATTCGTTACATCTATCGTAATATTATACATTCACTTAAAGTTAGTTGGATAAATATATTTTAACAACCCAATTCATATTTCTGTTACACAAATGTAATTAAATACTGAAATTCTTTATTATAATTTTTCATTCATAAAACGAAAAAAATGTATAGCAAAAGCAAATAAAATTAAAAAAAATCGTAGTTTTTTGATTCATAAAAAACTAACACATGGTATTTTCAATAAATATAATAATGGCTCGTAACAAAAAAACAATAAATACTATTCAAGCCAAATTAATTTATTTTTACTTTGTACCTTTGTTCATTGTTATGTTTATTTGGGTACAATGTTAAATTATAATCAAATAATGTACGCCGTTTAATTTATTTTATTTTGTTAATGATTTGTAAAAATTATAGTCAAACATTACGTGTTAAGACGATTTTATGATTATATTTTTGTAAAATGATCTAAAATTCCTGAAAATAAATAAGATGGAAGTTGAACCGTATATTGTATTACTTGTATATTTGTGCACAGAGCCATAATATAGGTAATAAAATGTATTCTGAAATTAATGCAGCATTAATTTTTAAAGTATAATAAAATTGTAGATATAAATTATGTATATTCAAATTGAATTAAAAAAGTTATTATCAAGGTATGATTTGACTTAAGTTTAATTAAAATTTTTTTTGTCTGCTATTTGACAAAAAAAAGTATATATAATATTTCCATCAGTATAGTATAACATCTATACATCTATGTATATTTCTAACACAATTTCATTAAAAAAATAAAAAAAATACCATAGACGTTATGGCCTATAGATTGTTGGTATGTTCTGTAAGCGTTGGAATATTTAATTATTTCCATATAACTATTAAGTTTTTTTTTCTCGTTTGAACCAGCAACAAGCGACATAAGTAGGGGTTTTGTGGAAACGTTGTTTCCCATTTCTAAAGCTAAGTTTG